TAGACCTATTAGAATTATGCCTGACTTGTCAATAGAATCTCTAAAACTGAAAAGATGCCCTGCAGACTCTAAGAGACCACAGAAGCTTGCCCAGACTACTATATTCAGCAAATCTTTCAATCACCATAAGTGGAGAAAACAGGATATTCTATGACAAAGCCAAATTTAAACAATATCTATCTATAAAACTAGTCCTAAAGAAGATACTAGAAAGAAAACTCCAACACAAGGAGGTTAACTGCACCCATTAAAACACAGGAAATAAGTAATTTCACACTAGCAAAACCAAAGAGAAGACAAGCGTGCCTTCACACTTCACACATACACACACACACACACACACACACACACACACACACACACACACACACTACCACGACCACCAACAACAATGAAATAAGAGAAATTAGAAATAATTGGTCATTGATATCTCTCAATATCAATATTCTCAATCCCCCAATAAGAAGACACAGACTAACAGAATGGATGTGAAAAAAGAATCCTTTCTGCTGCTGCATACAAGAAACACCTCAACATCAAAAATAGACATTATCTCAGAGTAACTGGTTTGGAAAAGACTTTTCAAGCAAATGAACCTAAGAAGAAAGCTGGTGTAGACATTCTACTATCTAACCAAATAGACTTCCAATCAAAATTAATCAAAGAGATGGGGAGGGACAATTCATATTCATCAAAGGAAAAAAATCTTTCAAGATGACATGTCAATTCTTAACATCTATTCCCTGAAAGCAAGGGCATGCACGTTTGTCAAAGAGACATCACTAAAACCACATATTGACATTCACACATTGATAGTGGGATACTTCAGTATCCCACTCTCACCACCATGGAGTTCATCAAAAACTAAACAGAGAAACACTGGAGCTCACAGATGTCATAAACCAGATGGATCTAAAAGATATCTACATAACATTTCACCCCAACACAAGAGAGTACAATTTCTTCTCAGCACCTCATGGAGCTCTCTCCAAAATTTCCCACAGATGAAAGAAAATAGAAATAACTCCTGTACCCCATCAGGCCACCATGGATTAAAGATGGTTATTAACAAGAACAGAAACAAAAGAAAGCTTACAAACTCATGGAAACTGAACATTTTCTACTGAATAAAAAATAGGTCAAGACAAATAAAGACAGAAATTAAAGACTTTCTAGAATTCAGTAAAAATGAATCCACAACATATCCAAACTTATGGGTCACAATGAAAGTGGTGCTAAGTGGAAAGTTCATAGCACTAAGTGCCTTCATTAAAAAAAAAAAATTGGAGAGAACTCATACTAGCAACTTAACAACACACCTCAAAACTCTAGCAACAAAACAAAACAAAACAAAGTAAGCATACCCAAGAGTAGTAGATGACAGGAAATAATCAAAGTGAGGGCTAAAATAAATAAAATAGAAACAAAGACAATACAAAGAATCAATGAAACAAAGAGTTGGTTATTTGAGAAAGCAAAGAAGACAGACAAACTCTAATACAAATTAACTGAAGGATTAATGAAGAATATTCAAATAAAAAAAACAGAAACAGACGGGAGACATAACAACAGACCTCAAAGAAATCCAGAAAAGCCTAAGGACAAACTTTAATAATCTTTAATCATAAGGACAAACTTTAATAAACTTTAATCCATTAAATTGGAAAATCTAAAAGAAATGGATAATTTTCTTGATAGGTTCCACTTAACAAAGTTAAATCAAGATCATATGAACATTTAAAATACACATGTAACCACTAGTGAAATAGAAGCAACCATTAAAAGATTCCCAACCAAAAAAATTCCAAGGATAGATGGTTTTAGCACATAATTCTGCAGATTTTTAAGAATTAAAGCCAGTTATCCACAAATTATTCCACAAAATAGAAAGAGAAGGAAAACTGCCCAATTCATTTCCTGAGGCCATAGTTACCGTGATACAAAACCACATAAAGACTCAACCAAGAAAGAGGATTACAGACCAATTTCCCATATGAACATGGATGCAAAAGTATTCAATGAAATACTTACAAACCAAATCCAAGATCAAACAAAAATATCACCCACCACGATTAAGTAAGCTTCATCCCAGATATGCAGGGATGGTTCAAAATATGAAAGTCAGTAAATGTAATCCATCACATAAATTGAAAGAAAGAAAAAAAACCTGATCATCTCATTAGATGCTGAAAAAGCCTTTGACAAAATCCAATACCCTTTCCTGATAAAAAGCCCTGGAGAGATCAGGGCTTCAAGGAACATACCTAAACATAATAAAAGCAATACACATCTAGCCTATAGCCAACATCAAATTAAATGGAGAGAAACTCAAAGCTATTCCACTGAAATCATGAGCAAGACATGGCTGTCCATTCTTTCCATATCCATTTAACGTAGATCTCGAGTTCTAGCTACAACAATATAATGGAGACAAAGGGAAACTGGAAAAGAAGTCAAAGTTTCTTTAATTGCAGATGATACAATAGTATATATAAGTGACCCTTAAAGGCCATCAGGGACTCCTACAGCTCATAAACACTTTCAGTAAACTAACTGGATACATGACTAATGCCCCACCCTCAAAATAAGTCAGTAGCCCTCCTATATATAAATGAAAAATGAACTGGGAAAGAAATTAGGGAAATAACACCTTTCACAATAGCCCCCAAATAATACGGGTTTAACTCTAACTAAGCAGGTGAAAGACTTGCATGACAAAGATTGTCCTTCACATTCCCATAAACATTATTAATGTTACATTACATTTCTTTAAATTTCCTGCCCTCCCTATATCATGCAGGACAACTGGATCTTTGGAGTCTTTCTTGATCCTGTACAGCATTTGTTCCATGTGCCTGCTCCAAGCTCCTCTAAGACTGTGGTTTGTTTTGTTCCAAGTCTGATGTTAGGAATTAAAGTTCAACCATGAAATTCACCAAGGGCACAGACTCTGGCAGGTGATCAGCAATGGGGATCCCTCTCAAGTGTCTGACCTAGACATCTGAATGCTTCTAGCCCTAGAATTTGTCTCCATATGCTCCCATCCCCATTGCCAGGACACTTCCCTGGGCATCGCAGACTGTGCTCTGAACTGGCATTTCTCACAGCACCTGGTAGCTTATGCACTAAGAACTTGTTTCTCATAAGTAGGAAGATTTTGCTTGGTGTTCAGTTCCAGAAAGCTGCAAACAATAATCACATCTCAGAAACTACAAACATATTAGTGAATATAGCATTCAGACATTCTTCATGTTTTAAATTTAAAAGTTGTTCATGCAAGAGAAATAATAATTCTTTTGTTCTGATTATTGAATGGCCAGAGCAATGTGATTGATCTTTTTACAAGTCTGACAAAATTTCAAAAAAATTGTATGTCAGTCAAATTACTTTTAAAGTATAATTGCCTTGGTAGGTTTCTGATGTAATCAGCCTGAGGTCTGAGAAAGATCTTCCCCTTAGTGCTGCATAAGCTCAAGTGAAACTCAGTGTTGTTTCTTTTTAACATTTTCTGTGGTTATTAACTAACAGACTGCTAGTGCTGGAAGAGACCTTGAGGTCAGCAGCAGGTTCCTTTCTGAGTTGGATAAAGGCAGTGTAATCTCAACCTTCAAAAAATAAAACATTAGCTAAGTTCATTCCTCTTCCTCACTGAAGTATTACCCATACTAAGATTCCTACTGCTTCCATTTCTTTGAGTTAACTTCTTGGCAATCTAATTTATAAATTTATTTATAATAAATCATTGCCATTTATTTATTATAAAACATTTATACTCATTCTTTCGGACAAGACTATATTTTTTTAAATTTATTGTCAATATGTTCTTCATTTGAGTTGGGGATCAAATATATGGCCTTATATAGAATAGGCAAGTACTTCAATACTGAGTTACACCTCCATTAAATGCCACTTTTATTATTTTAAAATTTTAATTGTTATGAAACAGGTAATCAAATGCCCATGTTCTTTTCCTAGAGAAGAGTTTCCCACTGGGTAGCACTGATACCTCTCTATTACCAGCGTCCCTGGGGTGTCTATGGTGTAGCTTTCAGAATTCTTTAGTAGCCTGGTCCCTCTGTTGTCTGCCTTTCACCATGAGTAAATATTCTGAGCCCTGTGTCTTTGCTTATGAGAACCTACTATTGTGCTTTGCACACTGTACTGGCTCAAGAAATGAATGAATAAGTAAAGAAAAGATGTATAAAGAACTGTTTTGTCAACATGAGACTCAGTATACACCTAGACTGAATGATAGCCAAAACGTAGTGACAGTTGAAAAGTGACCTTTCACCTTCTAATGGACCTTCTAATATTATTATGCTAACAGTTAGACTAATCAAATGCCATGTTTCCTCCTAGACAGTGATCTCCAACTTGTCCTTAAAATGAGGAGATTCCATTCTTTGTGTGATTTTCCCTGGCTCGCTTCAACAGCATTTTATTTTAGTTCTTTTAATCATGTATCATCACATTGTAATGCCATTTTGTCTTCTAGAATCATGTAGACCCCAAGAAAGAAATAACTAGGAGTCTTCATGCATCATTACAAGGTATTTGTTGTATTTTTATTTTGAGGTTTGGAGTTTTTCCTTTGAAACATTCTCAATAGTTCATATAAAAGTTTGGTGGGTTAGTATCAATTTCCAATTGTAATTCAATTGACCAACTTTAGATCTTACTTTGCAACATAACTAATTATTAAAATATAGTGTCAGACATCTGAAATGCAGTTAAAAAACAAATGTATGTGTGTGGCACAGATAACTAAATATAGTACTTAGTTTTGACATTGTAATTCACAAGAATTCTATATCATTTGAATGTCATCAACAATAGAAAATTGTAAGCAGGCTATGGGAACCACTTATTGTGAAGAAATGAATACCACATGTCTTTAAAATTTTTAAATGTATTTGTATGGACATTTTGCTTGCAAATATGATTGTGCATCACGTACTTACCCAGTGCATGAAGAGGCCAGAAGAGGGAATTAGGTTGGCTCACCTAAAATTAGAGTTACACATGTCAACTGGACCAATATAGGGAATTGAAGCATGGTCCTCTGTCAGAGCAGCCAGTGCTCTTAACCTCTGAGTCATCTCAACATTCCCTATTTTATACCTTAAATAGTAGTGACTTATTTTTTTGAAATAGAAATTCTAAGTAATTCTAAGTAGCAATGTGTAATATAAGACTCAATATTTAAAATGCCCAAATAAAATCTTCTAATCTCAAAAATACACATTAAAATTGCATATATGTGTATATATATATATATATATATATATATATGTGTGTGTGTGTGTGTGTGTGTGTGTGTATAAAAGTGTGCATAAATATAAAGAGATTAATATGTATACCATTTATTCATTTAAAATATTTTACTGGGAAATGAAGTAGGACCTTGTTCATAACCAGAGTCTTTCCGTACATATTCATTTTGGTTTGTGCCATAGTAATCCTTATGACATGGTCTAGCAATTGTCAAGACCTTTCTGGTTGAATGACCTCTCTCTACTCCTTGAGGCCCCCAGGCTTCTCTTTCTAATTAGAGATTCATCATTGCTGTCTAACTTAATATTGCATTTTCACATCTCTGGCATTATCTGAGGCTCAGCTTTACTGGATGTGACAGAACCTGACATGGAAGGTTTGCTCATGCAGCTTGAGGCCATAAAAACCCTTAGGTCTCTTTTGGAGTGTTTATAACTTACTTCCCCAAGATAAGCTTCTTCTCTTCAGTGCCTTCTTGTAAACTTTCATTTCTTGGGCCTATTTCATTTCTCCTATTTTCTTATATTCCTAACGTTCACCTTCCTTTCTGGAACCAATTATTCATGGTAAGTAATCTCTACCCTATATTCTCACCCTAACAATGTATGGTTATTTAGTTCTTGGCATCGACTAAATGGGGAATACTTTAGAAAAACACTGTATGTTAGAAGAATATTTGACTCTGGGGCATGAATCAACAAGTGTTCTCTGAAGAGAGCCACACAGTTTATACCTTAGGCTCTGTGGACCAGGCAGTATCTGTTGCAATTAATCACCTGTTCCACTGGAACATAGAGGCACCTTTAGATAAAATACTAATGAGTAATTATAGATGTTTTTCAATTCTAAAGCATCAGTTACAATCTTGGCCATAGGTAGTATTTCAGAGCCATGGATTTCAAACCCAGCTCTAACATAGAAGGTACACACTCTCTCATGCTCTTTATTTCATAGCAATAAAATGGTGAATGAGAAACCATGTAACCTTCCATTTAATTAGTCCTCAATTCTTGTGTACAACACCTTTTATCCTACATTAACTCAGCATACTTGATCAAATGCCCTGGTCATTTCTGAGCATATTTTAAAGAATCTGGTGATTAATCAACACTCTTCTGTTTAAAATTAGTCTTATCTGGTATCTGAAATATCCATGGCAACCATTTAAATTCTGAATGCAAAAATTCAATTTCATCCTATTTAATAATTTGTTATTAATGTCAATACTGAGTATCTCTCCTTGAGATCCATTTCCACTACCAATTTGTGGCCACAATGTGGATGTGTTCATCAGACATCAGAGCTCTCCAGCACCTCATAAGCAGATGACAGTCTATAAACAGAATTCCACTCACTCATTACAAGCTTCCTGTCTCACAATTCTTACATTCCCTTAGTTCTACCAAAATTTCCAACGAATCCTTTTGTTCTACCAAAATTCCATTGAATCTAGTCCATCTTAAATTTTCTTGGTTTCATTTTTTTTTTGCCCAAACCCCTGTTTTATTGTTCTCTACTTCCTTTCCTATTCAGTTTTAATCCCTATAATAAGAGTAGTTAGAAATTTTTTTTCTTTGTGCAAGATTTTATTAAATGTCTGTTTGTACAGGACAACATCCAGCCTCCAGATGCAACTGCCAAGACCCTGTTATGCTGTAGACACTGGCTGGGGCATGGCAGGTTGTAGCTGGAGAGTTTTCTCTCCGGATCCCACCAAACCCTGGCAATGCGACAGCCCACTTATAAAATAAACACACAGACACTTACATTATTTAAACTGCTTGGCCTAATGGCTCAGGCTTCTAGCTATCTAGTTCTTACATCTTAAATTAATCCATTTCTATAAATCTATAACTTGCCACTTGGCTCATGTCGTGTTCACATGCTGCTTGTCATGGCGGGGGCTGGCAGTGTCTCCTCCCACCTTTCTGTTCTCTCAGTTCTCCTCTCTGTTAGTCCCGCCTATACTTCCTGCCTGGCTACTGGCCAATCAGTGTTTTATTTATTGACCAATCAGAGCATTTGACATACAGACCATCCCACAGCAGCAGGTGGCTCTGGCTTCCCACCCTTCTGTTCTGAGATGGGGGTGGTGGGCAAGATTTCGTCTTTAGGTTCCACAATGCTCACGTGATCAGGCAGAGGCTTCTTGGGGCCGATCTTACCACTTGGGTCCCAGGGCAGCATGATCTTCACTTTGATGCCCAGCACACCTTGTCTCAGGAGCACATGGAGCACAGTAGTGTCAACATAGTAGTTAACAGGGTCTCCACTGTGGATCATCAGCCCATCCACAAACTTCATGGACTTGGCCCTCTGTCCTCGGAGCTTCCCAGACACCACAACCTCACAGCCCCTGGCCCCACTCTCCATAATGAACCTAAGCACACCATAGCTTCGCACAGCAAGCCCTCCTAGGAGTTTGTAACGTAGAGACTCTGCCTGAGCAATGGCACACAGACCTCTTGTGGCTACCTTTTCTGCATAAAGCTCTACACTGCCCTCAGGGAAGCTGAACCTCTTCTGGACTACCGCAGTCAACTCTCTGATCCGACGACCCTTCTCACCAAGAACAGTCTGTGTTCTGGTGGCTAAAATAATGATTTCTGTTCTGGTTGGTGTAACTCGGACTTCAACTCCAGAGTAGAGTAGCCACCTTCAGCCAGTTCCTGAGTGAGAAACTCATTTAGTTCAGCTTTGAAGATGCCATCGGCCACAAACTTCCTGTTCTTGGAAATTTGTACCGCCATTTTGCACTGTGTGCCACGGAAAGGTGAGTAGTTAGAATTTATTGACTATTTATTGCCAGGCATTATGTTAACTATTTTAGATGCATTGTACAATGTTCTACCTCAAAAGAATCCTACAGGGTAAAAAGATTATCTTCAGATGAGGAAATACGATTGTCAGCAATAAAGTTTAAATTTCATTACTGGTGTCAGAATGAATACAGGCTGGCCACACCTCAACATACATCATGCAATAGAATGTAACTGATTATTCAAGGATAATTTTGGTGGTGTTTACGTATGATACCTTGAAACAACTAAGAGGAATTCAATGGAGAAAAGGACAAAGTAATAGAATAGCAACGAACAGAAAATTAATGACTTTTAAAGGGAAAATACTTACTAAATAAAGATATGCTGTAAACTCTGGAACTTACCTGAGAGAAAAAAAATATCAAGGGAATCTCAGAAGGAGAAGCACCAAGTAAAGAGCATGGAGGTGCCCTTTACCTTACATCATTGAGCTTCTACTAGAGTCCACAACAAAGAAAAGACTGGGACTGTGAAGAGATGAATTCAGGAATCAAGCATGAGACTTCAAAGTTCCATTAAAGGTCCAAAGGGATGAAGACAATCAGACCTCAGAGATGTCCCCAAAGCTAAGAAAAGAGAACAAACATATTGAAAAGGAGTGGTTCAAAACCTTTCAAATAGGGAAGGAGACAATAAAACTATTTTATTAATGGCTTTAAAATAACTTCACTGGAGTCTTGAAGGCAGAGATCAAAGAATGATTTTGTTGGATAAATAAAACTAGAATCATGTCCTCAACTTTCTTATAAATATCTAGTTGATTATAACTGATGATGATTTTCATCTTTTTTATTTTTGGAAAGTTTGGAGAAGGTTGTATTGTTTTTAGAATTTGAAGACACTACAGAAGAGATGGCCATATCTCTGGTGTGTTTTATGATGGTATTTGATGCTGAAGGATAACCAGCAGAAGCACTGTTTTTCTCATTGCCACACAAGCCCCCAGGTTTATGAAACAACCTGTTTTTCTTACAGCGTCTGATGTTCTTCCATTTTGTTTCTAGTCCTGTGTTGAGAATTTACAGGATTACAATTATTTTCTCAGTAATGCTGAAATACTTTTACTTTGCTCTGGTAAAAATGAAATCCCTTGCTTAGAAAGAATTACCACTTTTCTACAGTAAATTTTAGATTTTGCTGCTTTATTTTTCTGACTTAAATAAATTTATGATCATAGTAAAGACGAAAAATGTGAATTATGTAATAAATAGTACCTTACTGTCAACACAGGAAAAAAAATATGTTAGGCTAAAAAGAATTGTTTATAAACTTGGCTTTCAAAAAGATTATAAAGAAAAGCAGCATTTTGAAATACAGTCCAGAAATCATGCACTTTAGACTAAAAGTACTTCCTATTTTGAAAAGATGGAAATACTGATGACTGTGCTCACTTTAAATCTGGATGGGTCATAAGGCTCCTTTGCAATCATGCAATAATGAATAACTAATTAATAGTGTGAACTTGCTTCTTCAGCATCTGCGCCCGTCCCTGAGACAGGTCAATGTGAGATAGAACTTTTCACCCTGTGTAGGATGCAGATTTCTGCAGAGGGGGATAAAGTAAAACATGATTACTTGAAATTATTTCACAGTAATGATTGTGAAATAAAAATGATCCTTGTTAGCTGATTTCATCCTCTTTTATTTTGATAATGATGCCATAGGGCGATTTGGGAGAGACTTCTTATGAGCACCATTCATTTTACAACCTTTTGAATACTGTAGCATGAATTGTTAGAAGGTCTTATTAATAAAAATAAACCTGGAGTCAGGTATTGGGGTGAATGCTGGGAGATCAGAGAAATAGAACCAGCCACAGCCACCTCACTTTGCCAATTACTCAGCTGATCCTGTCTCCTCAAACTGGAAGCCTCTGAGTTCTCATCCAAATGGATCTCAGCTGAACTGCTGCTAAAAGCTGAAAAGCTTAACCAGCTCTAAGTTCCTGGTCCTCACACCTTACATACCTTTCTGCTTTCTGCCATCACTTCCTGGGATTAAAGGCGTGAGTTACCATGCCTGGCTGTTTCCAATGTGGCTTTGAACTCACAGAGATCCAGATGGATCTTTGCCTCTGGAATGCTAGGATTAAAGGCATGTGTTACCATTGCCTAAACTCTATGTTTAATATTATGGCTGTTCTGTTCTCTGACCCCCAGATAAGTTTATTGGGGTGCACAATATATCAACCACAGAGTACATTCAACTTATGGCCACATCAACATTTTCTGAGCACAAGGGCTAAGTATAGTGCTGTGGAAAATGTAGCTCTTTCTCACAGAGTGAACAGTGTAGTGTGGGTGGCAGAATGTATGCACGGAGCTGGCTAAAAGGCATCTTGTTCTCATGGGGTCCTGCTAGTCTCAAATGTGCACCTCAAGAGTTGACGTATTGGAAATTTAAGTCCATAACTCTATTTGTATTTGATGGTGGAGTCATTGGGAAGTGATCAAAGTCAGATTTGACCATAAGAGTGGGGACCTATGTTGACATTGATAGCTTTATAAGAGAGACCTTTAGCATGCTCACTCTGACTTCTGAATATGATGCCTTTTACCAAGTCATAATTCAATAAGGAGTTCTTGGCAAGCTGAACAGAGACTGGCACGAAGTTCTCACATTTTCTTGCCTCCATAACCAAAGGCCACCTAGACTTCTGTTTAGAAATTATCCAATATTAGACACTTTGTTAAAGTAACAGAAAATTGACCTTTCAGTAATATTAGGAATATAAAGTGTGTTCCCTCTCAACCACTTAGGGGTATTCTCTAACCACAATTAAGAAACAAATTAAATCCACCAACTAATTAAATTAGTTCTGTACCCTAATCCTAATGCTGAAAATTTTCTAGATAGGTTAACCTACCTTGTCTTAATTATTAAAAAATCTTCCTTATCCTATTTCCATTAGAAGTTTCTGTCTTGGAATCCAGCTACTAGATTACTCGAATCCAGTCACATGACATGGTCACATAGAAGAGAAGCAACTGCAAATTTTTGTGTTCATCTGCCATTTCTGAGATGCCAGGCAGACTCAACTACAGCCATGTGAGTGAACCCTCTTGAAAGTTATAGCCCCAAAGACCTTTCAGGTAACTGCATGACTGGCAACATCTGATATAATATAGAACAGCATATGGCTGTTCCCACTCATGAGAGAGAAAGATAATTAAAAGTTATTTTAAGACAACAAATGTCAGGATCATATGCTATAAAGAAGCACAAATTGAAATATTAATTATTAACTGAATATTTTATTTATTGAATTTCCTATGAATGTTTTCTCATAATATTATTTTTATTTGTTTTTTATATAAATTTCATTTGACAAGAAAGCATGGACTTAGAGATCAGTGACACTTATTTGAAAATAAATCTTGATTTTTTAGTAACTATATGAATTTGGGCCAAGTATTAAACTTTCCTTAATCTCACTGTAATTTGGAGTAAAATTAAGTTTAAGAAAAAATCTGTCAACTAACAAGTACTTTTGCACCATCTCTGATTTACCTCAGATACTTAAAAATGTTAATTTCCACTTACCACATGCAATTTTTTTCTCTTTTCTTGCTTGATTCAGTATATTCCTAACGTGTTCCCTCTCCAAAGACTGAAAAAGGAAATTTAGAGTAAAAAGTATTGATTCACAAAATAACAAATTATTTTCTAAGTGTTTCTGCGCTTCTAGGATGTTCTTCCATATTATTTCTGCTTTATGATGTGACTCCCCATCCCCTGTGCAAGTATGAATTCTGCTAGTATAAACCCATGCCAAGATGCTCACAGAAGGGAAGGATAGTGTGGACAGAACTTTTCCTTCTTACTGTCCCCTATGCTAATAGTTATTAACTCATTATTAGTCCCTTCATTATTGTGTGTCATTCATGCTCTCAGTAGCCACTGAAACTTGCCTTGGACAACTTGATCATCTATATCAGTGTTCCTGAGAGTTGCTCCTTTCAACTTCACTCTTTATCTCTGTCGTGTGCAATTTCTTATTCAAAAAGTATTCTGTTATTGCAATTGCTTATTTCAAAACTCAGTGTGATCCATCATTTCTATGAAGCTTTCTAAATGCAGTTGATCTTGTGATAATCTCTCCTTCCTTTGAATTTCAAAATCATGGATTTCACATCTGGGCTGTGGCAAGTACTCAGGGGCTGTCCTTTGATGTGCATTTTGTTTTTCAGTTACATCACGGTACCTTGCATATTGTTATTTACTCACCCACAATGACAGCTTCTTAAGGGCAAAATCCAAAAGTCACCATGTGTTTGATACACAAGTTTTCTAACTTCTTACAACTTAGATAATGGAGGTTATAAAATATTCCTCTCCATTATGTATTCAAGAAGATAAACAAGTGAAATACATTGCATAGACTGAAAGGAGATTTAAGTAGGTAAATACTTATGTTATATAGCTATATTTGTTGTAGCTATATTTTTGTTGAAATATAACTACAAATGCCTGTTCCACAATAGGCTCAAAAATACAGCCTAAATGCTGGGCTCCTAAAGTACTCATGTATTAATTAAAAGCTGCCATTTAAAAACATTGTCCTGCTATTATAGGAAAAGTAGTCAATTTCTATATGGATGATACACAAAGATAGCAACATATACTCCTTGAATGAGTGACTGTTTCTTTTAGAGAGGTCCTGATAATGTCAAATCCTTAGGCCTTATAACTTTTAGCTATTAAAAATTTCATTTTGATTGTTTTAGTTTCAACACAGGAAATAAAATCACATGTGTGGAAATGATGTTTGCCTTTTGGGTACAGGCTTAAAATAACCATCCAGGGCAAATGAGGACAACATGAATATGTTAAAAGCAAACAATGGTGAAGAGGAGAAAAAGAAATCGAGATTGAAAGATAGATGAAAGACCTTTAAAATCAAAATTGTACCTACTTTGTAATTTTTATGACAT